GGGGGGGCTCATATGGAGGAAAATGTTGTATTTTTTCTTTTTCTTTCTTCTTCATTCCAATAATTACAATTGTACCACTCCTTTATTTCTGATCCGATTGTCTTCAAACAAACTTAGAAGATTTATACATTGATCCAATAGGCTCAGACACCGTCGTTTCCATTTTTTGTCTTATTCAAGGCCCCGTTTCAATTTTAAGGAATCAAAGGTCAAACATATTTTGGCCTAAAGTTTCCTTATATTTCTATCAATGGAAGTTAGAGAAGAACAGAGATACCTTACAACAACTCCCACAGACTAATAGAGATGTATTTGGAATTTATGCCCTTCTTTTGATTTTTACAGGGGTCAAAAGTACGAACAATTCGCATTGTAAGTAATAGGAAGCTATGAATCTAGAGACATTGTCTCTATATGTCACCGTTACAAAGGCTTGTTATTGATAGTTTTTTTTTTATTTACATAATGCATGAAATTACATACACTGTGTCGAAGAGTAGGTTTTACTTACTCAGAAATTACCTGTAAAGTTCTTGCCATTGTGAATAAATATATTTATGTAGAAACTGATTGTCCTATATATACACACTATAAGTTCACAATTTAATTTAATTCAATATTCCAATATACCTTTCTCACAAAGACGTCACAAGCTGACATAGTGTTAAGTGTCTTACCCTCTGAAGTACGATGGTTACGAAGTACCCTCTCGTATATATATATTGAAGCTTATGACCCCTTCCACTGTCTTAAATACTGTTATCTTTTGAAATTTACTGTATTATTAGAATTGTACCGAATAAGGTATATAGGGGAGGCATATCGTACCTGCTTGCGAATGTTGGCCTTTTTAGTTCATAAATTCATTAATAGCAACAGAAAATAATTTAACTTAACATTTTTAGTGTTAACGTACGTCGTTAGAGAAATACAGTTATTTTGTTATTTTACTTTTCCTACATCTTACATGTATAGTTTATGTTACACATTCACGTTTTCATAATCTGAACAGCTCATCGTGTCTACGACCTCCGTGCCTCGTTTATAAGTAAAACATTTGTTAGAATAAAATATAAATTTAAGCAAGATAAAAGTCTGTAGTGTGAGGATGTGACATATGAAAAAGAAAGATAAACATGACTATGGTAATATCCCTGTTTTTTTCCAGTTAATTAAAAACTTGATAATTTTTTTAGCTAACGTTCTACAGATATACCTTTACTCAATCTTGTTTTCCTAATCAGTTTTTTGAGCAGAGAAAATAAATTTAGCGTCACATGTGCTTTACGTAATTTCGTTTTTGCGTCGCATTTCTACCAGCCTCAAACAGAATAAGATGGTGAGTTATGTCTGTTTTCTTATATGTGACGTTTACGGTTAAAACAGTGACGTATATGTGACGTTTACAGTTAAAACAGCGACGTCGTTATTTGGATTTTTTTGTTTTTATTTTTTAAATGGACCCAAATCCTAATCATGACCAAGAATCACTAAAACTGTTATTGCAACATCTACTTGAGAAGATTAGCAGTTCTGGTTACTTAAATAGAGACAAGTAGCTTCTGATTAGTTTGTCATTAAATACACCAACGTCTGTTGTATTAACTGGTAACTATTATTTTCGCATGTAAAATTAGTAAGCTGCATTGATGTTAGCGTACATCGTTTGAGAAATATAGTTATTTTGTTGTTTTACACATTCTCTTCGTTTGTTTCACTGCGGGGAAAATTAAGTGACGTCATATAAGTTAAACGAAAGAAAGGTTCACGAATTTCACAATTTATGTCATGGGTTATTATCAAAAGTCACACAAAAAAGTTTTCGATTGTCTAAACTTTCTACAGTGAAGACTTACGTATACAGCAAATTTTGTAACATGGGAAATTTGTTTAGCTTTTGGTCTGTAACCAGTTGCCAAGTGCATGCGTAGAAAAACTTTGTGATTTATTAATACGTTTTAAAATCTTAGGTCGCCTAATCAAAGAATTTCATTTAATGAATTAGAAAATGTGTCTATGTAAGACATTTTATTAGTGGAAGTTAACCTTTAAAAAGAAATTATATTGACTGCTACCGAAATTAGGTTAACCATTCCTTTAATTCCTTTTCTGCATTAAATTCATATGCAGGTAAATAAAGGTACATACATACACGGGAAAGCAGACGGAAACCTTTATCGATTTTTTCGGTTTTCTTGTGTTTTAATCTCCCTCTCTTCCATTGCAGTGAATGAGATCTTCCGTGTTGCCGGAAAAGGTGGATAAAATTAATCTGGGAATAGCGGAATAAATATGGTGTTTTAGTGTTAAGGAAGAATTATAAGAACATTGTTGGATTATATCTTAAAAACCTTGCTGTTTGTGTATAAAGGTAATTTATAATACAATATACTTTAAAAAAAGTATGATTAATTTTAATCGTATAAACTGGCCCACTTATTTTTTGGTTGAAAACTATAAGTTAAAATTACATACAAGAAAAACGAGTTAACGATATACACCTAAGCAAACTGCATACCTTAAACTGTAAACTTCAAATTTTTAAACATTCCAGTAAAATATTTACTGTTAACTCACTCTCTAAGAATCCCACTGATAAATAAGTAGCAGATATATAAAACATATATTTGTGTTATTTCAGGTCAGTTTCCTTTCATCACTTACTTAGTGCTTAATACAAACCACAGCGACCCCCGAAGGCTGGTTAGTGAACTTGAAAATAATTATTTACCATCTTCCTGTCAGGATCAGTTGCATCACATAGGTAAGTGACATTGGCAAGGAATAAAATATTAGAAATAATAATGATAATGTACATTTTCCGGATAATCATTAAAGGATACAGTTCCTGGTGAGGCATGACATTAGCTGTAAGCCTCATCAACTATATGAAGACGTAAAACCAAAAAGTTGATAACAAATAAAATATTTTGTTCTCATATACAGCTAAAGATTACAAAAGTATTTATAAAATGTTCAAACTGCCCCATACCTCGCTATTCACTCTACAAATAAAATAATAAGACTTGGTTGTATTATTGAAAATTTTATTTGATAAAATTTTGAAATAATGTTCTCGCACTTAAAATATTACTTGATAAAATATTCAATTAACTTTAGATAAATGCTATTTTGGTAGATGTTTTTAAGAAAATATGATTCAGAAAAACTTTGAAATAACTTTTAATTAAGAATCAAGAACTAATCTAGTGAGATAAACTTCGATGAATCATTGAAATGCTGTACCAACAAGGGCAGAAAACCGATCGATTCTTTGTCTTCGTGCCAGCAGTAATGCTTTCCAGTTATAGAAAGCTTCATTGAATTTTACCACTTGTGGCTTAGAATTTGGCAACTAGAGTAAACAAATTACAACCCGCAATCATCGTTTTCTGACTCTAATGGGAAAATGGGAAATTATATACTTATACAGGTCTTCAGGCAATATGCAAGGTGGCTTAGGTGAACCTCCCATGTAAATGTGTACTTTTACCTCAGATATGTTACCAATAAACAGCAATAGTCATTTGGAATGGAAACACATAAATATTTGAGGAGGAAAAACACGCAAAGTATGAGAAGACGTTTCATATGCGAAACACTACGCAGCCACTAATTCAGAGCAACAGAAGACATTTCTAAGAATTCACACGAACTTTTATAAGCAACATTATGACTCTGTTACACTAATGCCTAGGGTCAGCTTTTGGTTTTGTTATTTCTATGACAACTTTGTTTTAGTATGTGATGAGAAAGCATTAGGAATAATGTAAATCATGTTTGAAAAATATATATTCCACAAAACATTGGAATTAAAGCAATTCCATTCGATCACATATCTCTCCAATGCAGCTTCAGTTCAGATTTTTGTACCTTTGATCTGTTTAAACGACTTACACGAACAATGAAGTTTTTATGGAAATGTTATCAAGATGTGTGATCCAAGATTAACTTCCTGTTCTTCGCAGGCGCTTGTTACAAAGGAAATTGCGGGGTTGGGTATAAGTGTGTTATTATGGCCATCAAAACTGGCATGACACATGATGGAGAGAATAATTCCAAGGGCAGCACGAGACCTGTTGTTTGTTTTTATAATGTGCGATCATCCGTTGAACTGTGGTATTCATTTTAATAAATACCATCGTAGAGTTTACAATGATTTTAACGGTAGGTTGTTTGGGTATTTTAATTAATTTATAATTTTCACTTATGTATGGAAATGAGAATAAAATTGTCCACGTTCCAATTATCGCACATGCTGTACTAGTGACTCATAAAAATCTGACAGTTGCATGAAAGATTTATGGAAGTAACTTTAATCAAATTACATCTTAAAAGCCAAAATGGCTTCACATATTTGTATGTCTCAGAGAAACAAAGTAACCAGCTTAAGATTTTGTTTATTTGGTTGTAGTTAAGCACAACGCTACACAATGGGCTTTCTGTGCTCTGCCCACTACGAGTATCGAAACCCACTATGGGGGGGGGGGGGCAGTTTAAGATCAAAAGCGAGTTCTGAAAAAGCAGATTCAGTAGTTCAAAAGTGTTAGAGTATGGGATCATCTGTATTATCGTGGACTTTAATATAGGGTCTTCAAAACGGTGCTTATAGTATTTTAAATTTTGTTACAGATTTTACTTTGTTTTTAATTTCAGGGGACATCACCAAGATTTTATTTTCTTTTTCATAATACAAACTTTTCTTTTTCATAGTACAAATACCTTTATAATGGTTTTAATATTATTCTAAATCCATCATGGCGTGTTTACTTCATCCAAGATCTTGAAACACGATGTTTAATATGAGATTTGAATTTATCATGACGTATACAGTGTTTTAAACCAAAAATGTCTGTGGTACTTCCTTCAAGTAAGAATAGTAACCACAATAGCTACAGGGACGCCAGGAAATGTGTTCTATGGAGTTAAATCTGGATTTGTTAACTTTGAGGTGAGGAAAGAGACCAGATACAATGTAAAAATAAAGTTAATATAAATATAAATTGATCAACAACATAAGTCAAAGTTAATGATTAGACTTTAACGGTAGACAGTGCTGCTAGATAACAGAAAGAGAAGTATGAATTATTTGTCTTATTCTGAAGAAATCTTGTCCCAGACTAAAATGATATGAAATATGAGGAAAAACAATTTTTTTCAAAACTGGAGAAAAAAACATGGGCTATAGCCTTGGCTTTTTGGTGAAAATATACATTTTTTGAAAAATGGAAAAAAATACTATTTTTTCTGATACAAAATTAATAGAAAAATATCGGATAGTGCTTATTTAGTCAGAAAACTCAAAATTCAGATATTATACAATTGAATAAAAATATTATATCCCGTGAAAAGCTAAAAGAAAATTTAACTTTCGCTAACCCAGAGTAAAAACAATCCAAAAGGTAGAGTTTGTTTTATAAGAAGATGTCATGGTCTTTTAGATGTTGGGATTTTGTTTGTTTTGTTTTGTTTTCTTATTTTGAAAGGTATCCTTTGTTTACAATATAATTGAAGACAAAAAAAAAACAGTAAAATCGAAGATAGAAGAAATATTGATAACATATTATGAAATAACCATTGTATTGAAATATGAGGAAATACAATTTTTGTTCAAAATTTGGGAAAATATTAATTTTTTTTTGAAAAATAGAAAAAAGTACTTTTTTGACGCAAAATTATTAGAAAAATATTGGATAGTGCTTATTTCGTCGGAAAACTCAAAATTGAGACATTATGGCATTAACAAAAACTATTATGTCCGTGAAAAGTTTAAAAAAAATTGAACTTTGCTAACCTAGAGAAAAAAAGAATCAAAAAAGTGGAATTTATTTTATAAGAAGACGTCATGGACGTCAAGATGTTGGTATTTTGTTTGAATAATCTTATTTTTAAAGTTCTTCTTTGTTTACAATGTAACTGAAGACAAAAAAACAACAACAACAGTAAATTCGAAGATAGCCGAAATTTTGATATCAGATTATGAAAACAATACTCGAAAACAATAACGCCATCCTTCCCAGTGCACGGGCGCTAACCACGTCACTGGTTGTCCCAAGAGAAAGTGATGAGGACACAACCTTTCAGTATTTCTAAATTTAAAAATGGTGATGTTGCTAGAGATAGTAGATACAGAGTTAAAATTAAGTCTCCAATAGCATCTCATGCGAAAAAGTTAAAAAAAATCTAAGTAGGACACACGTCTAACTAGCACACGAAATAAGGTCACTACTGCACAAGGTAAATTTTCTATATGTGAAGGTGTAGAAACAACCTAAAAGAGCGTATATCTCAAAAAACTTTGAAAAGTTTGGTAAACTAAACACTTTATCTTTCTAAGCTAAAATAGAAATCCGGTGTTTTAAGGCTGTTCTCAGCTACTTCCATAACCTTATGCCTTATAACCAATAAAATGTACATGAAAAAAAAATCAAAAATTGTAGGTCAACCATGTTCATGTTTCTAATTTATTTCTCGCACTCAAAAAACACTTACACAGCACTGTATGTAGACACGACACACAAAATAACCCTTTAACAAAGATAAAATTCAAAATAAGTACAATAAAACTTTAAACAAAGATGCTCACTTCATACATTATCAAAAAACTCCAGTGGCTCAATGGTGAGTCTGTAGGCTTATAACGCTAAAAGCCAGGTTTCGATACCCGCAGTGGGCACAACACAGATAGCCGATTGTGCTTAATGATAAAAAATTATCAGAAAAATTAGTAATTAAATGGTTAGAATATTACCCAAAATCAAGCAGGATTATACTTTAGCATAGCTGGTTACATACATGGTGAGAATAGATCCTTTAATGATGTTTCAGTGTTACAGTATTATTACAGTAACGTACTGAAATATTTTTTATGCTGAGGAGCTGAAAATGCAGCCTTCATAGAGCAATCAAAATAAAGCTAGCCATTTATCGTATGTGGCACATTTTTCTTGACATGTCCATTTACACACACACACACACACACTTATATATATATACTGGTTTCATAGAGGTTCTCGTTTTTGTTTTTTAATTAAAGATCCTACATTTTAAGATTTTGTTTTAAGAACATATGTATATCATTCAGATTTGTAGCTTTTACATTTTACGTACACAATTCGTTAGTCTTTTCGAGCACCCATTTTATTTTGTAAGCATATCTTCACATACCCTGTACTCCCAAACTTCACTTACAATCATTCTTTGATTTAGATCTTAGACTTATATATTTCAAGCATATTTACACACCTTAGGCAGTATATAACTCCTCTTTTGTTATGTTTCAGGTTTTTATGTTACATATGCATAGACATATATAATGAATGTGATAATATACAAAAGTTTATGCTCTAATCACATGGTATCTCATTCATAGTGTTAGGAACCATTTCATTCATGTAATAGAAGGGCAATGTCTTACCACATCAGTATGTACCAAAAGGTAATGCCTTATGTGATCACTTAAAGAATTATGTTTAAAACGAAGGGCAATGTCATATATTGTGCATTTTTATTGAGAAGTTGATCTTTCCAGTTCTTGGAGTGTTTCAGGCTGTCTTGTAGCTTCAGGAAGTTCTTTATAGATTTTGGGATGTAATGGTCCCATACAAGATGATTGGGTACACAATTGGTATCATCAGTGTACTGTGATTTTTCATCCTCCATTGGACACTTCACGTGCCCATGGCGATTATCCTTTTTGCCATTAGTTTAGATTTCGTAGATAATGGCACCATCTCTGGCATTAACGTCGATGGTGATGATTGA